TATTACATACTAGAGTTTATAGGTCATTAACATATGGTAAAACTGTATAAGAAAATGACATTTAAAAACGCACACCTGAGTCATTATATTCTAGGGTTTTCTTTATGTAATGGTTATAATTACATATTATAATATTTTGTGTTTTAAAATCTTCCAAACCATATTGGCATTCAATACATATTTTAATTTTCACATATCCTATGAGGTGTAAATAAAAACAAAGCACAACCAATATCAATAATGTAACATTTTCTTTATGTCTTATTCCATGCAAATTAGAAATCTGTATTCCAACTAGAAAAGTCTACTGAAGAATAAATCATTAGAGAATTTGTCAATTCTCAGAACCAGTCTATCCTAACACCTAAGCTTTGTTTTCTAAAACTATTCTTTCTCTAGTAAATCCTGAAAGACTGGACATTTTTAACAAAGGCAGACTGTTCTTTGAAGCTTGGAATTAAAAAGTATCCTCTGCAAAGGATACTTAGACACCTGCTTAAATATGGAGACCTTTTCACCTGTAGCTCTTCCTCACCCCATTCCGATATCAACAGGACAATCCGTGCGTGAATGCTGGTACAGCTTATCATACTCAGAGCTGAGACCTGTCCAGCGTCAACTTTCATATCAGAATCTTTATACATGCACTGTCAGGCAATGGTGCCCGATGGCCATCACTGGGGGAGAGACCTATTGTTCTCTCTCTTATTAATTAAGCCATTGACATGATGAACATTCTTGTATGCTGTTTGAGTATGAATTTCCCATCTGTTATTCTCTAGTTTTGTCAAAGTAATTTGGGGTACACTGAAAATAACCAGAAATTCAATTTTCATCTGCTTTTGTATTGCATATTACTCTTAAAATTTTATATAAGACTGAAAACTTTACTTTTATGATTATAATATAATTACATCATTTCTCCCTTCCCTTTACTCCCTCTATACATTCTATATACTTTTCCTTTCTCTTTCAAATTGATGTCCTCTGTTTTCATTAATTGATGAGGCATGTATGTGTGTGTTTGTGTGTGTGTGTGTGTGTGTGTGTATACATGCACATTTCTAAATGCAACCTCAGTCTGTGTGATGTTATTTTTATATATGTTTTCATGATGAGCATTTGTCTTGGAACAACCAGTTTGTGTGTTTTTCTCCGAGGAAGCCTATTTCTCCTATTCTCAGCATGCTTTAATAACCTGTAGTTTTCGCTGTGCAATGCTGAGGTCTCCTGGTCTCTCCCTTACCAACTTTAGCACTGTTTTTGTTGTTTTTGTTTTGTTTATGTGTAGCCAGTCATGTTGGTGAGACTTTATCAGTGGAATTTCTGATATTTTCGACACTGAACCCTCGCGAAGCCAGCCTTCTCCTCAGTATCTCTTATCTGTATAGACTGAAGTGTCCAAAATGAAAGACTAGTAAATTTCTAGTCCAAGTGTTCAATATTTTTTATAATTATTTATTTATTTATTAAAAATTTCCACCTCTTCCCCACCTCCCTTTTCCCTCCCCCTCCTCTCCTCCCCCTCTCCACCACTCCCTCCCTCTCTAGTCTTAAGAGCAGTCAGGGTTCCCTGCCCCGTGGGAAGTCCAAGGTCCTCCCCTCTCCATACAGGTCTATAAAGGTGAGCATCCAAACAAACCAGGCTCCCACAAAGTCAATCCATGCAGTAGAATAAAAACCCAGTGCCGTTGTCCTTGGCTTCTCAGTCAGCCTTCATTGCCAGCCATGTTCAAAACATTAAGAAGATTTTGTGGGCTTAAAGTAATGTTATTTTAGAAATTAGAGATTTATGAGGAATCTAAACCCAACCATTATGACAAAGTAATTATTTAATAGCTACTGATAATTTAGACACATCTATGGTCTAGGTTTCCTATGTCAACCTTTTTCAATCAAGAAACAATGACCAGGGGCTGGAGAGATGGCTCAGAGGTTAAGAGCATTGCCTGCTCTTCTAAAGGTCCTGAGTTCAATTCCCAGCAACCACATGGTGGCTCACAACCATCTGTAATGGGGTCTGGTTCCCTCTTCTGGCCTGCAGGCATACACACAGACAGAGTATTGTATACATAATAAATAAATAAATAAATATTTTAAAAAAGAAACAATGACCAGAGTCATGTGCACTCATGTGGCAGAAATCTACGACGTCAAACTTTGTACTATATCACAGCAGAAATTACACCATGCTGCACTCAAACGCACTGTTCCATAATCATGAACAATGCAGTAGGTGCTCAGAATGCTCACTTCTCCAGGTATGCATACCTCCCAAACTAATGACTTCTTTTCATAACTTTGCCGCATTTTGCTGATGACATTTTGCCATCTCCGTAAATTTTAGTTACTGTAGTCTCTTCTGTCACCTTCCTCTTTGGGTTTCCTCCCACCTTCTCATTCTCTATGTGTCATTTTTCCTGGGAGTCCTTCTGCTTCAATATTTCTGCCCTGCCTTCTTTAGGCTGTGTTCTGTCCCCTGTCAGAAGCATTGATTTCTAGTGTGTCAGACACTGCTGAGACAGTCAAGCCCACTAAGTGTTTCTCAGGGAAGGAGATGATCACCACAGTGAACATTTGGCATTTTTTACATCCACTTACTTTGACATATCATGAGAGAAAGGTAATCCTAGAATATAGTAAGTAGAGATATGTGGTGACAATGAGCACAGTGCTATATAAAGAACAGTTTCACAAAGAAATGACAAAGTCCCTAAATTTAATAAGCCTGAGGATTATAAACTATAACCGAGACATATGGTATAATTCCGTTTGAGCATCATGTAGAAAGACTAAACTCAGTATGCAACAAGGGAACGTTATCTTCCCCACTTCCTAGTTCAGCTCAACACTTTGGATTTTGATACAATGCAGTAGCACCAAATGAAGCAAGTCTTGCCTGCTGATGCTCTCCAAATACCCAAATCTCCTGCAGTATTAATCTATATACATTGAGGAATTTCTCTCCTCTCCTCTCCTCTCCTCTTCTCTCCTCTTCTCTCTTATTGTCAACTATCCACTAAGTCTGTGACCATCTTATCCCCACCACTCTACACAATCTGGTTCTTATCTCTGACTCCTCACTCCTCCTATAATCCATCTGTTATAGTAAGGGTAATATGGCAGATGATCTCAATTATTTGGTCTTGGAGCATTGGCCATTGCTTACATTAATTAACATGCCTCAGCTAATCTTTTAAATCTTGTTTCTGTTTCTGACACATCTTCACCTTAAGCATAAAATTTTACCATAAGCATGTAGTTTTAAATATCAATTATTAGTTCAGGTGAGATAGATCTCTTCAGAGTTATTTTATGCAAATAGGACACACCATATAGAGAATGTTTTATCCTATAAAAGTTATCTGCTACTATTTTTGCCTACCCTCAACCATGCTTACCAAAACCCTCACCTCAGTGCAGATTAAAAAAAAAGCAGTCGTTACTGTAACAAAGAGAATATTTTTATATTATTGTGGGGGCACAAATGTATAAGAAAGGATTAAAAGGAGTGTATGGTGGTGGCAAGATATATAAAAGCATAGGTTAGCACATTCCAATATAGCACCCATTATTTTTCTGTGAGTTTATGGATAACTTAATGAGCATATTATTCATTTGTGAAACAGAAATATAGTTGAGATATCTTTCAAGTAATGATGATCATTTGAATCCTAAATATTCATCTCAGCAATACACTCAATTTTGTGATAATCCTCTCATAGATGCCCCTCTGACAGCACTTCTCTCATCCTTTGGAGAGGCTCTTGTCTTACCTCAGTTCATATCCAGCCATCGTTTTCTTACAACCACTAGAATCTTGGAAGAATATCTTCTGTCAAGAAATGCATCAATATAACAAATATATACATAATTTTTCCCTCAGTGACTTTTTCTAGACAGCAGTTTCTAGAAGGAACTTACAAGAGCACATGTGTAGAGTCTGAATTTCCACCCTGTAATTCAGTAGGCTACCATGGTTTTTTTCAGATTCTTATACATTTTTCAAGGACATAGATGAAAGGACAGAGCATTCTTTTTTTTATTGAAACCCACTGATTAAAGTTAAAATACTGTTGTATTGTAAAGAATTGAGATGTACTTTACAAAGTAAAATTTGAGAGGTTCTTAAGAAATGGCCTGAATATATTTTGCTTGAGAAAAATAGACAAAATTTATTTAGAGTTTAAAGCCAAACTATTAAAAAGAAAATTATCTCATTCAAGGATGTGTTAGTTACAGCTGTCTCCAACAATATGTACCTGTGATGTCTGTAAGATGATAGGTTGGTTTCTGACATTTTCATCTCTGTGTATTTTCCAAAGCTGCTTCATCTTGCTATAATAGCTCTAACCGTACAAGCACATAATTAGGTACTTGGCATGTTTGAGAAGAAATGAATACTTAATCTTCTCATTGAAAATGGCTACATGATTAGAAATTAAATTCTTTCTAGACTATTCTCAGTAACTAGCCTTTGTTTTCCCTTGTGTTTTTTAAGACATTTCCAGAAGTCATATGCCATATTTATGGATCCTCAAAGGGTCCCATTTTCTAACCTCAGCAGAAACTCACTTTTGATATATGAATAAAAATATCTTGAAGTTACTATAACCATAATAACATCAATTGTAAGAAAAAAAATATATATATATGGAATTCTGTCTTTAAGATTCAAGACATTACGGTTCTTTAAATTAAAATTGTGACCATCACAGTAGGTAAACAAGAAATAGTAAAACACAGTCAACGGATCTAAGTAGTTAATAAAATGATCTATAAAATATTTTTATTGTTGCTTAAATTCAGTACAGTTAAAAGCCTTTAACTTTCATTATTTCTTCCACATAGAATATTACTTCTCAGATTTTGGTATAATATCAACAAATGGATAAGCTATAAAGATGTAAAATAATAAATTGGGTAAAGTTTTGGCACTTTCTGTAAGAAGATTACTGTTATTTAGTTTTGACATATACTTTATTGCCTGAACCTTCTAGATCTACGGAAGACATTTGAGCAGGAACCCTTGGGAAAGGAAGTGTCTCTGGACCAGGAAGTCTTGCTCCAGTGTCGGCCACCTGAAGGGATCCCAGTGGCTGAGGTAACAAAAATGCATTGCATTTAGCAGTTGGCACTTAGTTATTCTAACAGAGTCCTAATCCATAGCTAATGGTGTAGTGAATTAGGGCATGGCATGATGAATGGTTGGTAATGGAGTCCTAACTGCCTGCTGCTGGCAAAACAGATTGATTAGGAACTGATTAATGACTTGGGAGTCAATTAGAATGCCCCACTGGACAAAAGTACAGGCAGCATGGTTTAATTTTATCATTTCCTTTCAGAACAATCAGAAATAGTGTTTTACTTTATCTGGCACCTATAGAAGGAGATGCTATGACTAAATGTGCCATCACTTGGATGATTCAGATGATGTTAAAAAAAAGATTAGTGTAAGGAAGTAAGAAAGATATGTGTCTGTCTGAGCTGCATTGCACATGCAAGTTTCTCAGGTTCTTATGTCATCATGGAGAACAGAAGAGCATATCCACTGTTATAGACATGATCACTTCCATCCAGTAATATTTCTATTAGCTTATGCATTCCTTTGGTTCCTCTTAAATGAAACTTATGGATGGCTAATGAAGTTGTGTGGGTTTTTTTTTGGGGGGGTTGACTTTTTATTAGCAGCAATGTGTTGCTCTTTGAAAGGGGCTGTATTTGAGAAATTACCTTGCATGATCCAGAGGAAAATGCATGCTCCCCTGGGGACACTCACCATAATGTTATAGCATCCTGTTGAAGGAAACTAATACTGTATCTTTTATTTGTTAACAAAAAGCTTCAACCTCTAAAAAAAAAAAGGTTCCCATTACATGATTAATAGACAACTACCTTATAGTGCCAAACATGATTTGTTACAGAGTTCTATAAATCCAAAACACTTTCATTTGAAAAATAACATAGCTGCTTATTTGTTAAGAGTCCTTGTTAACCTCAAAGCTTCATGAAGTCATTTGAAAGTTTACTCTATATTGCATATGTGAAAAGAGACATATACCAGTTGCCATTCAGATCTAAATATGGATTCAGTGGACATGCTTCGACTCATTTTTCATACAATAAAATCCTGAAATTCTCCCTCTCCAAGAAATAAAAAACCAATGTGAAACTTTTTAGAGATTAATTAAAAATCATTCATTTACTGCTGGATTTTCATAGTTTTTCAGTCTTGAAGATTGGTACAAAGTAGGAATCAGCTAAAGTATCCAGGCTCACACTAGCAAACAGAGCATCTGTTTCTTCTGAGTTAATATTGGAAACAAATTATTTGAAAATACACACAAAAAGGACTCCATTTTCCTGCCATAATATTTATCTTTGTTTCTAAATTACAAAACCACATATTTCCTTTTCACATATTTGCTTTTTACTCTGAAAAATGGAAACTATTTTCCCTTATAATGGGCATCTCAGGAATCATCTGCATCATATCAGAAATTGCATGATTATCACTCACTATCACACAATACTATATCAACATCCTGCTTCCCCAAAACACAGGCTGATTTAGTGTGGCTGAATGAAGGACACTCTTCTCTATCCAACATTTCATTTTAGTTATGCAATAGTACATCTGTCGCCTCACTTGTAGTTCTGAGGCAAACCTCCCCCAAAAGCCACTGTACGTTCTAAACATCCTAAGAGCAGCGTGGACATCCATAATTTGGCTTCTCCTCTAACCATTCAATGGGCAGCATAGGCACCCATAGCTTTGCTTCTACTCAAGACAGCTTAAAAGCAGAAGAAACTCTTCCAAAGTCTTACAGAGAAATCATGCTCCTCATGCTTCTCTTTTTTTTCCATCTCAACAAAGTAGTTCACTTTGTCAAGGAGTGAAGATTCATGACTTCAAACTAATTGGCTATGAATTTTATGTGCATCATCACTGGGAAAGAGTCTAATTAACATTTGGCAAGCTCAAAAATCATATACCCATTTGACATTCAGAGAACTATATTTAATACATATTACTTTTTCTTTCTATTTTTTTTTCATTTGGAAGAGAGATCAAATGTACATGCTTAAAAGTCGGCTAATAAATTCCTGTGTAGATTCTTTTTAACACCATTAAAATCACCAAGATCAGAAAGCCAGTGGATGTCTTAACATGACACTTTCCAGCAGCTGTGTGCTCAAGAGCAAGAGAAAAAATGTAAAAATAATGGGATGAAAGATAGCTTGGGAGCTAAAAGATTATTTGATCATTTTAGTTCTGGTAAAGATGCATTCAGTATTTTATTTTCATTTATTTGTTTAAGGGTTTTGAAGGCATAAATGTGGCATAAAATAAGTTGCTGATCTTAATATAAAACCAGCAGGTAAAATGTCTGTGTTTTATGATCATTAGATGAGCCCTAAGGTGGTATCCTAGATACCTGAGTGCTTTGCTTTGTTGCCATTCAAAGCCACTGCTTCTGAGAAAAAATCAGACAGTGACTGTTCAGTGAACACTTGGCTGGTCAAGTCAGGTGATCTTTGGTTTACATGCATGTGGATAGCTTCATGAAGGAAGGCACATTCTTTGCAGGTTATTAGGAAGGTGTAATTTTATTTTAGCTCTCTAAACCACACATCTTTATAAAAGAGTCTAGCCTCAGTTATGAACACACTGCATTCATGCATATGATGTCATAGGTGTTGCTCCAGTGACAAGAGTGGGTTTCCTCCATTTGGGCATCCTGTAGTCTGTTCTATGAATCAGCAACTGATTTCCTTGCAAAAGTCCAGGTTTGAATCCAAGCATGATCATGGTTTACCCTCTCACTTTAGGCATGATATTTAAACCTTTTGATCCAGAGCTTTCAGTCATGTAAGAAAGATAATACTATTTATACACTATGTGTTTGTGATATTTAATAACAGTGCATGAAAACTACTTAAACCTATTTAAAGCCATAGAGAACTATCAACCATTATTTATATTAGTATAATGTGTTATTAACTCCTGGAAGATTGAACTCAATATTATAGTCACTAAACTTTGCTCACGCTAAGCACTCTGGGATACATGGAGGAAGAACTTTTACTGGAGAATCTCCATGATACCCTCTATTTTCTAAAGTCATTGGTTTGCTTGAAAACCATTAGTGCTACAGATATATATATAATTTAAAACAGGACTTTGCCTTTTGCTAATGCTAATCAAGTCACCGGCTGCTCACAATTTAAGGAAATACAGTCAAATACAATGGGGAAGGCATTTCAGCAGAAGCAGGAGACAGTGATTCGCATTGAAGCTACAGTCAGAAGAAAGGACAGGAAGTCAAGTGGGGATTACAAACCCCAGTGCCCATCCACTCCATGAACGGCAAACCCTACACCTCTGCCCCAGTCACCCACTTCCTCCAGCGAGCCTCCACCTCTGAAAAGTACCATGACATTTCAAAATAGAACTGTCAGTGTGTGGGTGGGGGGCAAGTACTCAAACACATGAGCCTATAGGGAACGTCTCACATTCAAACCATGGTACTGGAAATGTCATGGAGTTCTGCTGTCCTCACTTCACTCTAGCATTAGTTACTGTCTTTCATCTGGTCCTCTTGGTCCAACAATCCAACAACCCTTGGATTTTCTCCGAAGGAGGAAATTTGAGCAGAGGTCACTCTTCTTCTTAAATATCTCTCTCTCTCTCTCTCTCTCTCTCTCTCTCTCTCTCTCCCTCTCTTTTATTTCTTTTCTTATTTTTTTTTAGAACCCAAAGGGGAAAAATGCAAGTCTCAAGTAAAGGAAGGATCAGCCAACGCTTACTTATAGTTCATTCACCCAGGAGGGGACAATGACTTTGAGTGCCTTCTGGTACTGATCCCTAAATCGTTAAATAAGTAAGATGTTTCAATCCCAGGAACAAAACACTGGGGTTTCAGAACTCTAGACCTAAACATTTCTTCCTCTAATCTCCTTTCTACACTCTTCCTTTCAACATTCTGCCTGTTTAACTAGGGGTGTTTTAAAAAATATTTAATAACTGCACAGCTTCCTTAGCATAGGCACAGAGTCCCAAGAACCTTGGACTGTACTGGACATAATACCATCAGCTGCTAATGCATGGTGAGAATGAATGGCTAAGGGACACTCAACTATTTGGCAACATATTCAGAGCTGATTTAGCATTTAACACCTGGTGTGAGTAAAGGTGTGGCTGGATAAATGGCAGTTTCCACATACTCCGGTTTTATAATTGTGTGGAAATTCATCTATTTACTCTTCTATCTTATTATACTATGAAGAGATAAGGAGTACAATCTTTGGTGCTTATTTTATCTCTAATGACAGCTAATTAGAGGTCACAATAGATTCTCAAAGTAAATAAAACCTAATTTTAAGAAAAAGAAGGCATATTGAATATAATAAAGAGGTACCTTTCAGGAAATAGAAATTTCTAGAAGAATGATACCTTTTACCAATGGAGATATAACCCCATTTAGAGAACTCCTTGTGAGGTGATGTGATCCTTTAATCTGAACCATCAGAGCAGGATTCGAACTCACCAGGACCTGGATACTTAAAGCAAAAGACCACAGGAGATACTCATAATAATCTCACTGCAATGATGAAATAGACAAATTGAAAGAAAGCAAAAACAATACCAGAAATACTGTTGGGTATTTTCATATTTCATGAAACATTGTGTGGTATTTTCATAGCCCGTTGCTAGGATCAATCCAGAAATGATTCTTTCTTCCACTTTCTGATGGTATTAGACTCCATTTCAATAACAAATCTCTCTCTTATCTCTCTAAAGAAGCAGGAAAATTAATATGCTATAGAGTTGGTGCTGGGCTGTTCCCAAGGCATAATAGCAGCTCTCTATGAAACTAATCCCTCTCTGCTCGTTTAAGCTCATGCCTAGAAAATGTTGCTATCACACAGCAAGCCTGAGGTGCTTTGTCTCATCAGATGATTCCTTCTGGGATCATTGCTTCAAACCATCAATGGATACAAGGCTTTTTGGCATGGTAGAAGGGACAAAACAGAAAATTTCACTAAAACCTGTGATTTGTTTCACCTTTAACAAGGGGATAATTGCTTCCCTAATTATAA